GGCTTTATTTTTCTTTTTAATTTTATTTATTTATTCATGAGAGGCACAGAGAGAGAGGGGGGCAGAGACACAGGCAGAGGGAGAAGCAGGCTTCACACAGGGAGCCTGACATGGGACTCGATCCTGGGACTCCAGGATCAGGCCCTGGGCTGAAGGTGGTGCTAAACCGCTGAGCCACCAGGGCTGCCCTATAAAGGCTTTAGTTGGTAGGAAGCATGGTGAAATGCTGCCCTTCCAGCACCAGACTTTGGGTACAGTCAGTGCACGGCAGTCTCTGGAAAAAGTTGTTGTCAAGGACGCAGGCCACTTAGTGGTTACTGGTCTTCATTGTTACTAGTCATACAGGCCCATCATGTTCTCATATTTGCCTTCTCTGCCCAGGTACCTTCACTATCATTATCATTACATGTATCATCAGGCCAAGGTCATCATGTTCAAGGTCCAAAGTCTTCTCCAGGCATGAGTGCTGAGGCCTCTTTATTCAAGGACCAGGGATTCTTGAAGATACTTTCTTTCACTCTGACCTAGCACCCAGTTCCTTACTACTGCTAGTTCTTTCCACTTGCTCTACTGTGACCTCAGAACTGCTGGATCCTTGGTTTGGGGCCGCTGCAACAGTGAACCCACCCACCTGGAGGACCACCCAACTTCAGACCCTTGATCCTTGTCTTGACCAGGCACTTTCTCCCATCACAGTAAGTGATTAAAGGTTTGACTCTTATTTTTGGCTTGTTGCTTTCATCAGCTACTCTGATACCCAATCTGATCAGCTTTCTAGATTTCCCCAGGCTCAGCTGAGCTCCTAATAGTACCTTTGAGTCATTACGGTTTGCCTGCAAATAGTCTTGTGTTGCTTGAAAAATAGTAAGTAATATAATCTTGCAACAGTATAATTTTATTTACTCCATTCCCACTGTTTTGTCATTATATTCTATTTCTATGTGTTCTATAAACTCACAAGACATTGTTATTGTTTTTAAAGTATTTTTTTAAAGATTTTATTTATTCATAAGAGACACACAGAGAGAGGCAGAGACACAGGCAGAGGGAGAAACAGGCTCCTCGCAAGGAGCCCAGCGTGGGACTTGATCCTGGGACCAGGATCACACCCTGAGCCAAAGGCAGACGTTCAACCGCTGAGCCACTCAGGTGTCCCTGTTTTTAAAGTCTTTTAATTGCATTTAAATTCACACATATATGTGTGTGTACATGTTAAAGATTTTTAAGATTGTATTTTTTATTTGAGAGAGCGAGAGAGCACAAGAAGGGGAGGGGAAGAGGGAGAGGGACAAGCAGACACCTCACTGAGAAGGGTGCCTGACCCCAGGACCCTGAGATCAGGACCTCAGGAGCCTTAGGACCCCAGGACATAAGCTGAAGTCAGATACTCACCCAGGAGTCCCATATTCAAGATATTTTTAACTGGACTTCTATAATTACCCCCTTTTTTTTAAAATAATTACCATTTTTGTGGTCTTCATCCTTTCCCAAAGATCCAGTTGTCCATCTGGTCAAATTTCCCCTCAACATCTCAACATTTCTTACAATGCTGGTCTACGACAGATATAATCTCTCTCATTTCCCTACCCTCTGGAAATATCTTTATTTTGCCTTCATTCTTCAAGTGTATTTTTATTAGATAGAGAATCTGAGTTTTGCTCTTTTCCTTTAAGCACTGAAAAAATTTACCGTCTTCTGGTTTCCAATTGTTTGTGATGAGAAGTCAAATATTTATATTGTTCATGTGCTCGCTTCGGCAGCATATATATGTATATTGTTTGTTCTTCTATATGTACTGTTTCCATTTTTCTCTGGCTGTTTTTAATATTTGCTTTTTGTATTTTATTATTATCAGTTTTACTACAATGCTATCATTGTGGTGTTCTTAGTGTTTGTCCTCCTGAATTTCTTGCAATTGTGGCAAGATATTTTTCAACAATTTTGGGAAAATTTTTGTCAAATAATTTTTAAATTATTTTTAAAACTATTTCTTCTGTTCCTCTCTATCCTTTCTTTCTGAAGCACCAATTACATATATATTAAAGTATTTGATATTGTCTTACGTATCTCAAGCACTCTGTTTTTCTCGTATATCCTTTTTTCTCTTTCACTGTTTAGTTTGGCTCCTTTCAATTGAGCTGTTTTTACATTTGCTGGTTCTGTATTCTGCTGTTTTGAGTCTTCTATGAAGTCTGTCTAGTAATTCTTCATTTCTGCTATTGTATTTTTTATTTTTTATTTCTAGCTTTTCCATTTGGTTCTTCATTATAGCTTTCATGCTCAGATGAAAGTCCTCAATCTTTTCATGTATCTGCCATTTCTACTTTATCCTTTAGCATTTTTATCATAGTTATTATTTTTTATTTTTTAAAATTTTAAAAGATTTTATTTATTTGACAGTGAGTGAGAGAGAGAGAGAGAGAGAGAGAGAGAGAGAGAGAAAGCAAAGGAAGTGGAAGAGGGAGAGGGAGAACCAGGCTTCCCACTGCGTAGGGCTGGATCCCAGGATCCTGGGATCATGACTTTAACTAAAGGCAGATGCTTAACTGGTTGAGTCACCCAGGTGTCCCATAGCTATCTTTTTTAAATTAAACTTTTATTTTGAGATAATGGTAGATTCACCACACCTGTAAGAAATAATACAGATAGACCACATGTACGCTTTACCCAGTTTCCCCTAATGGTAAAATCTTACAAAACTGTAGGATTTCACAAGGATATTGACTTTGATATAATCAAGATTTAGAATATTCTATGATCACAAGGATTCCTCATGGTATCCATTTTTTAGCCATCTCTCATCCAACCCAGTCCCTGAACCTTAGCAACCACTAATCTGTTCTCCATTTCTCTCATTTCAAAATTGTTATATAAATGGAATCATACAGTGTGGAATCATTTGGGAGTGGCTTTTTTATTTAGCATAATTCCCTTGTGATTCCTCCAAGTTATTGTATATATCAATAATTCAATTATTATTTTTTCTTTTTTTTCTGAATGGTTGTTTCAAAGTTCCTGTCTAATCTGCACCTCTTCCTACTGACTTTTCACTCTCATCCTTATCATGGGACAATTTTCTTGCTTCTGTTGTGTCTTATAATCTTTTTAAATCATACTTCAGATATTTCATATAAAAGAAATGACTAGAATAAGTAATATTTACCTCAAGAAAAGAGCAGAGCCCTACTTTGTCAGAATGTTAGAATTAAGGGCTGAACAAATCTGACCTGTGGTCTGGGCTTTGTGCAGCTTTTTCTTATTCGGTGCGCCACTGGTGTCAAATATTTTGGGGTATGTGATTAGGCCTTCTCATCAGAAGAAACTGGGATCTAAGCATTGCTGAACTTCTGGAAGAGATACCTTGTTTGTTTTTTTTTTTTTTTTTTTTTTTTATGGCCATGTTGCTAGCTTTTCTAACTGTAGGATATGTCTCTCTGATTCATAATTGTTCTAGAAGGAGAGTCCAAGGAAATTTCTTTGCTCTGAAGTCTCACTCTTGGCTTTCTGAGCCTAGGAAAAGCTCTTTATTTTGCTATTCTCCCCCATGCTTTGGAAGTTAGCTGCTGTGCTTCATACAAAGACCTGTAATGCCTCAGATAGATTTCTCTAGGCTCATATCTCTGCTCCCATTCTTTGAAGTATTGTCCTAGAGCACATGGCCAAGTCCTAAAGAGTTGGCACTTGGAGAAGGACTCTGGCTAGAGTTTCTCAGAATCCTAAACCATCAAACCAGCTTGCACATTTCCATTAAAAGTGCATTAAACTTTCTGTTGATTTCTCCTTATTTTTCTTTATGGGGGATTCTTTTTTGCTGCTTTATCATAGATCAAAGTCATTTGGTAGAAAAGAAAGTTTTCTCTCTCCGAGGAGGAACTTAGCACTCATTGGAGTTTAATTCATTTAGATTCCTGGCAATCTAATGAGTTTAAGAAAACAAAACAAAACAAAAAATTGATTTTGTATTTATCCAGATAAGTTTAGTAGAATGGGAACAATGGTCATTTTTGTGGCTTTCTTCACACTAACCAAAAAGAGAAGGGCATTCCTTAACCTTTAAGAGGGAGATTATGAAAAGCTTAGCAAATATTTGTGTAGCTGAAGGTCTTGTCAGCATTTGTTTTTTCTTGGGATTGGTTAAGCCTATTTATGAAACTGTATTTTTTCTTTAGGGAGTGATACATATGTCAGCCTCCTTGTTCTCCCCAAAGATTTTGTCCTCATTCTTTTGAGAAGATTTGCCTGTTTTTTTATGCTCTGTTAGAGGTGAATTCTTAGATGCCAGGCATTTTGTTTGTAGGACTTGTTTTGTTTGTAGGGGAGGGGATTAGTAGTGGAGTTACCAGTTCCATACACATGGATGTTTAACAAATCCCCTGTTTTCTTTTTCAAAAGATTTTTATTTATTTATTTACTTGAGAGAGTGAAAAAGAGACCATGAACAGGGTGAGGGGCAGAAGGAAAGGGGCAAACAGACTCCATGCTGAGTGCAGAGCCCTCAGTCCCAGCACCCTGAGATCATGACCTGAGCCAAAATCAAGAATTGGACACTTTAACTGATGAGTCACCCAGGCACCCCAATGAATTCCATTTTCAGTTGCACATTTCACTCTTAATCCTCCACTGCACCTAATTTTTCAAGAGTTCTGGATGGCCAATTGTGATATCTTCCTTCATGCATATTTGGCTGATGCTTCCTCCACTCTGGCTCATAATTACTATAAAACTTATCTATCTGTTTCATATCTTCTGCAAATTTGCCAAAAGCTCTCAGGTATCTTGCACTTGAAGATTGTATCAGGATATTTGCTAAATAACTGGAAAATTAGAGCTGAATCCAAGCAGTCTGGTTCCTGGTCCAGTTCACCTTTCATTATAACTTTTTCACTACCTTATTTTATTCTCATATATATATATATTTTTCTAATATATACATATAATTTTTTAATCCAGGTTTTACGGCAAACATTACTGAGAATCATCCAAAGTGCCACATTGTGACGATGATTCAGCTGACAGCTACCCCCACAAGTGCACTTATTGATGAGCCAGTGCATATCCGAGCTACAGGCCTGCCTCCCTTCCAGATAGTGGTTCTTCAGGCAACACTGAAAGATGAAACGGGGAATCTGTTTCATTCTCATGCCTACTATAAGGCTAATGAAGTTGGTGAGGTAGACTTGGAGCGTGCCCCTTCACTTGGAGGTGACTATGTAGGAGTCCACCCTATGGGTCTCTTTTGGTCCTTGAAACCTGAAAATATTTTAACTAAATTGTTGAAAAGAGATGTGATGAATAGCCCCTTCCTGGTCCAAATAAAACTTTATGATTCAAATTTACCATTAATCCACATCTCCACCACTGCTCCAAAAGTCAGCCTGACTTTGGAAAGGTGGTACACAGCGCCTGGTACCAAACGGATCCAAGTTCGAGAAGGCCACATTCGGGGAACCCTCTTTCTCCCTCCTGGTGAGTAGAATTAACCTGATTACTGTCATCCTTGTATTTCTTCTTTTGAATGCCTAATCCTTCTGGAGGTTTAACTTGCACATGGATGTACATAGTGTAGTCCTTTCCAGCCTTATAATCAGGGCTAACTCTGGGTCAGAACAAGAATATGGTGATGCCCTATTCCAACTCAAGTTTGATCTCAACAGTTCTGAAGTTTGTCTAAGGATAAGATACATGTAGTTTATGGAGTCTCTGCATTATGGGATTTCCATAGCTTTGGATTTATGTGAAATCCATCTGTATTGAAGCCTGGCTATCAGAAAAGCCATGTCTTGATATTGTGGAAGTGTATCTCAGCTTCTTTTGGGGTTTCTGTTTTGTCTGAGTTTCAATTTAGGTATAGGTCATTGCATGCGATAAGATGATGATATAATGGACTAAAATACTGCAATAAATATAGAGGTTTCAAAGAAACTCGATACCCTCTACTTCCATAAATATTGTATATTTATAGAATATCCCGTAAATCCACAGCTAATACAACACACTCCCTAATGGCTATAAAACTTACCAGAATACTCAGTTTCCCACAGTGATTTCCACATACTAATAAGTGGTTCAAAACATCTACTGGTACATTTCTCACGGCTTATCGTGGGACTGGATGAAGCAAAGTTAATTTCCCAGAAGTAGCCCTTGGTGGGTCCAGGTTTCAGGTGTGTCTGAGGTTCTCTTCTTCAGAACATGAGCTTTGATCTGGGACACAGCCATCATTATCACCAGGATGTATTGCCCCTCTCTCTTCTTTTAAAAACATAATCACCTTGTAGAAGTAAGATGGGTAAAGGAAGCCTGAAGTATTAGAGGTGGTTTCTGACAACATAGAGTTATAAATGATGCAGTACGAATAAAAGCTTCCCTTTCCAAAATCGTCATGACCCATGCAGTTGTTTGGATAAATTTCAACATTTTTACACCCGGTAATTAGCACATAGATAACATTATTGCATGTTAGGACTGGGAAGTAAGTGGGGGATATACAAGAGGGCTGAGCTTCATCGGGCCAAAAGTGACTGAGTCAGGTCTCAAAGCAGTTCTCAACTATAACATTTTTCTATGTTAAGAGGCTCAGTACTTGTAAGTTCTCCTTCTTCCTGCCAATCCGGAGATAATAAACATCTTTATTTATTTATTCAGATGGTATTTTAAAGTCAAGATATTTAGTACCATTTTATTTCTTCTTTCTCAAGATAGAAACAGCAATGTTTTGTTTTAAAAATTCCCAACACTTCATCAAGTCACTCTTTTTTCTAAGATTGATTATTTATTTATTTATTTATTTATTTATTTATTTATTTATTTATTTATAAGTTTATTTGAGAGAGAGAGACAGAGATAGTGAGAGAGAGCATGAGTGAGGAGGAAAGGGAGAAGCACACCCTTCGCTGAGAAGAGGCTGAACTGAAGGCAGAGGCTTAATAAACTGAGCTACCCAGGTGCCCCTCAGATTTTTATTTTTAAGTAACCTCTACACCCAACATGGTGCTTGAACTCACAACCCCAAGATCAAAAGTTTCATGCCCTACTGATTGAGCAAGCCATGCAACCCCATGGATGGGACCAGTCTTCCTTAACTAAATTCACTTATATGAGAGTAAAGTGCCCCCAGTAAACACACTTTTTTCAGTGTGTGGGTCCCGCTTTATTTAGGAAACTAGCTGCCTACACAGAGCATGAGTGTAGAATGATACTCTTACCATCCCTACTTTTTACCATGTGTTAAGTTGCAGTGAATAAACATTGTTATTGCATGGGAAGGGCTCATCATTTGCATCTGCTTGGCTGTAAGATTTCATCACTGTACAGTCAGAAGAATGGACTAGAACATTGTTAAGTCAGGATTTTAGCTAACATAGTCATTTCAATAACTTTTTTTGAAGTCATATACTTTTGAAGCTATTTTTTTTTAGTTATATATACTTTGAAAACCTAATTAAATCTGTACAAACTTTCATTAGTAAATGCACATATAGGGGCACCTGAGTGGATCAGTCAGTTAAGCCTCCTACTATTGGTTTTGGCTCAGATCTTGATCTCAGCTCAGGGTCATGAAATTGAACTCTATGTCAGGCTTTCTGCTGAGCACGGAGATTCTTTCCCTTTTCCCCAGCCCCTCCCCATGCCACCCATCCCCAGATTTCTTGTTCTCTCTCTTTAAAACAAACAAAAAGCACATATAAACATATATTTTGCATATAATTTCAGGACCTTCATTGACTTTCTAAAGCCTGTGTACATTTTCATAGGTCAAAAAGCCCTTGCCTAATTTCAATGACTTTCTTTACTCCAGTACTATAGAAATGAACCACTGTGACTCCCTAAGAGCCCTTGGCTACAGAGATTAAACGTGTCAGTGAACCTAGTTCCCAATCAAGCTTCCTGATACTGTCTTTTATTAATCTATTCAATCAGCTTTAATTCTGGTCCAGATACAAGGCTGAAAACTTGGGATTCTACTGAAAATATAAATTTCGATTCCAGAATTTGTAATACATTTCTTCATGATACTGTGTTTTTCTTCTCTTTTCCTTCCTTTCCCTTCATACCCAGTTCTGTTTTGTTTTGTTCTTTCTCAGGAGAGGGCCGTTTCCCAGGGGTAATTGACTTGTTTGCTGGTGTTGGTGGACTGATTGAATCTCGGGCCAGTCTTCTGGCCAGTCATGGCTTTGTCACCTTGGCCTTGGCTTATTGTGACTATGAAGATCTGCCCTCCCAACCAGAAAAGACAGATTTAGAATATTTTGAGGAAGCTGTCAACTTTCTCCTAAGACATCCTAAGGTAATGTTTTGCCTTTTTTTTTTTTTAGTTCCTGTTTTTAAATAACAATAACATCCTGTGGCTTCCCTTTACTTCCAAATATGATGCTCCTCAGTGAACTCAAAATTCTATGATATATCCATACCATACACATGATTTATTTCACACCCAATGTCTTTTGCTTAGAAAGACAAAACAGGAAGTTAGCCTGTGTCCATGTTGGAATAAAAATGCAATGGCTTTAGATTCAGACAGAACTGGGTTGCATTTCTGGCTCCATTCCATATGGTTGTGAAAATTTGGACAAGCTACTAACTAACACCTTCTAATCCTGAGTTTCTTCATTTATTAAATGCTATGGTAGTGATGCTATTTCATAAGGTTCTCGTGAGAAGTAAAGGGAATAATACAAGCAAAGTGCTTATCAGAGTAACTGGCAATGCTACATCCTTAATAAATGTAACTCTTATTAATGATCACCTTCTTTCATAATCATTAAATCATCAGACTCCATCAGACTGAGAATCTATCTTTCTTTGAGGAATGGGCCTGCATTTTTAGTTATTTGAGAGGACGTAAACATAATGCTGTACTTTCTAAATCATATCTTCTTTAAATTTTAAAATGTGCTTTGCTGCTCTATCAGGGTTGCTACATGTTATCCCTTGCTAATGTTAATATTTTTTTCCTAGTAAGAATTGATCTAGGGGCACTTGGGTAGCTTGGTCAGTTAAGTGTCTGCCTTTGACTCAGGTCATAATCCCGGGATCCTGGGATAGAGTCCTGAGCCTGCTCAGAGGGGAGTCTGCTACTCCCTTTCTCTCTGCTCCTCCCCCTACCATGCTCTCTCTTTCTCTCTCTCACTCTCTTAAATAAATAAAATCTTAAAAAAAGAATTGATCTAAGTAAAATTAAGTCTCTGTACTGCATCCTATTTCATATAAGGATCACCAAAACATGATCAGAATTGTAGTAATAAGATGAGCAATAATCACTAACCATCTATTGAGGCATATTGAATTTTAAATAGCTATTTTGGTTCATATAATGGAATTGTCTTTGAACTATCACATAGGTGATGTTATTGTGCTGAGTTTCTGTTTGGCTTAGATGAGAAATGAAGAGGTTATGTGATTCTGCTGTTTGTGGTCTCGGCCTGGTTCCCCTTCTACTTTCTGCGTGACTTTTTTTTATCAGTGTTCTTACCAATGTCACTTAGATAGTCAATGACTAAGGGAGGCCTGGAAACCAGATTTCTATCCTAGGCTCTTAGTACTTCCACTAAGCCTACCTAATGCTCTCTCTCCTGTGAGAGGATAGACCATACATCTTTCAATTCCTTATAGGTCTTATTTCTCCATCTGTTGATTTTAAGTGTCTTCTTCGAAGCATTCTAAATTCCCTGGTCCCAAATTTGATGGCAGAAATTATAATAAGAGTTAGTGTTCTGCCAAAAGTCTGCACATAACTGAATCATTTTGTTGTTCTTGTTGTTGTTCATCCATGTTATACTTCCTTTTACTTTGTCTTCCTTGGCCAAATGCATTCTGAGTTCTTACCTCTCATTGCTGTAACCATGACTCTACATCTTTTATATTAAGACCTAGAACTGGGATCCCTGGGTGGCGCAGCGGTTTGGCACCTGCCTTTGGCCCAGGGCGCGATCCTGCAGACTCCAGATCGAATCCCACGTCGGGCTCCCGGTGCATGGAGCCTGCTTCTCCCTCTGCCTGTGTCTCTGCCTCTGTCTCTCTCTCTCTCTGTGTGACTATCATAAAAAAAAAAAAAAAAAAAAAAAAAAAAAAAAACTAAAAAAAAAAGACCTAGAACTTCAGAGATGGAAAGGTCTTTTTAATTTGAATGGAGATGATTCCAGTCACCCCTCTTAATATACAGGATATGACCTCCAGTAGAATGTATTGGCCTTACGAAGAGGCTGAAAAAAAATATGTAGCAAAGGGGAATGGGTTCAGATCCATCAGAATTTATCCCTGGGACTGGATAGATGCCCTGCAAAATAAAAAAGAATGGCTCCTTTCAGTGTCTACAGCATAGAATGCCATTCCTTCTTGTTTCCTCCTGGTTTTTTTGTATGAAGACCCAACTCATAGCCCATTTCTTCTGAGAATCTTTCTCTGATTTTGCCTTTATTCCCTGCTACTCTGGGTTGGCAGCTTTAACTATGTGTATTCTTATATCACAGAATTTGTAGACTACTTTAATTGTCTGGGTTTTTTCTCCTGTCTCTCCATCTGGCAGTGAGTTCCTTGATGGCAAGAGATGATTTATGCATTTTTTTCCTCTGTGTCCCTCAGTGTTAGTACAGGGTGGACAATCTAAAAATATTTGCTTGATGACTGATGTGGAAGAGGAAGCTGAGCCAAACCTCCTTTATAAAACCTTTCTCTAAAGGAGAAACCTTCTAGGGAAACCATAGCAGATATAGAACCCCCTGCTCATGTTTCCATGCTTTGTTCTACTAAGCTCATTCTTTTTCTCAGTCCTTTCCTACAGAGTACACTTTCCTCTGAACTTCTAGAGACCCTAGAATAGGTACAACAGAGTTTACTGGTCAACTGTACCCTGACTCGTATTATTCACAGGAGTTATGTGCCTCTTTCTTATTTTTCCTACAACATCGGTATTTCTTTAGGGGATTTTATTTATTTACTTATTTTTTAAAAGATTTTATTTTTTACTCATAAGAGACACACAGAGAGAGGCAGAGACATAGGCAGAGGGAGAGGGAGAAGTAGGCTCCTTATGGAGAGCCTGATGTGGGACTCAACCCCAGGACCCTGGGATCACGCACTGAGCCAAAGGCAGATGTTCAACTACTGAGCCACCCAGGTGCCCCGCTTTAGGAAATTTAAAACTCAGTACCTATCACCACGCTGAATCCATAGTATTTAATTTGGAAGGCCTGACATGCTTTTGATGCAGTATTTCCTTTGAATATTCATTATGTGTCCCAGAAGTCTATAACTGGGCATATGGGTGGGATTAGTTCTTGCTTGGTTCCCACTGGCCATTCATGTTCTTTGGTTGTTTGAGATGGTCGGGTTTTGCTAAATGATGGACAGAATTAACATCTCATTTTCATTATTTTTAGGTCCTTGGCCCAGGTGTTGGGATAGTTTCCATAAGCAAAGGTGCAGAGATTGGACTCTCCATGGCTATTCACCTAAAACAGGTCACAGCCACTGTGCTTATTAATGGGCCCAACTTTGTAATTAGAATTCCACAGGTATATCGTGGACAGATAAGTCAGCCCTTGCCTTTCTCCCCACAACTACTATCCATCAATGCCTTAGGGTTAGCAGAGTTCCAGCACAACTTTGAGGAAGCTAGAAATGAAGCCAACGAGAATTTTCTTCTCCCCATTGAAAAGGCCCAGGGACATTTCCTTTTCATTGTGGGAGAAGATGATAAGAATCTCAACAGCAAAGCATATGCCAAGCAAGCCACAGAGCAGTTGAGAAGAAATGGGAAGAACAATTGGACTTTGCTATCTTACCCTGGGGCAGGCCACCTATTAGAGGCTCCCTACTTGCCACTGTGCTGTGCCTCAAAGATCTCCAGTCTCCACCTATTCATCCACTGGGGAGGAGAGGTGACCCCACATGCCATTGCACAAGAGCACTCTTGGAAGGAGATCAAAAAGTTCCTCAGGAAGCACCTCCTTCCAGTTGTAACCAGTCAACTCTGAGAAGAGAGGATATTCCTGAGAAACAGAGAAGCAATACCAGATTTCAGGGAACAATGTCTTTGATTTCCTATTGTGGGATAATATACTAAGAGAAAGCAAGAGGGTGACAGTGGCCATGTCTTGACTTTGGAAAGGGAAAATGGTTTCCACTTAATCTGGTATCACACACACAGAGTTTTATATTTTTAAAGATAAATTTAGGGCTCAAGCTGTCCTAAAATATTCTGGTTTATAATTATAGCAATTATCTGGCAGAAAAAAATTACCAGAACGAATGTCAGAATCCCCTGGTTTGTTTTTTTTTTTTTTTTTTTTTTTTTTTTTTTTTTTTTTTAAATTTTATTTATTTATGATAGGCACACAGTGAGAGAGAGAGAGAGGCAGAGACACAGGCAGAGGGAGAAGCAGGCTCCATGCACCGGGAGCCCGATGTGGGATTCGATCCCGGGTCTCCAGGATCACACCCTGGGCCAAAGGCAGGCGCTAAACCGCTGCGCCACCCAGGGATCCCTTTTTTTTTTTTTTTTTTTTTTTTTCCCTGGTTTGTAAAACAGACATGAGGAAAATCAGGTGCTGATATTTATTGATTTCTTAAAACTCCAATGAAATATGTTTAGATTTCTCATATTTGAAAATATGCTTGTGGTTCCTGGTTACTTCATTGTCATTGAAAAACTAGAGCTGGGTAAATGAATTTATGATTTTAAGGCAATATGGAAGCTGATACGGAGGTTACATGATTGAGTTAGCCTACAATCAATAATTCAACAAAAGCTAATAAAAGAAAATAAAGTAATATTTGTGTCTAAACATACATTTTGAGAAAGAAACAATCTGAGATTCACAGAACTGCAATTTAGGAAAGAGCAGTGATGGTGTGTGTTGTGTACCTTAGCAGTTGGCAAACTGTTTCTGTAAAGTTCTACGTAGCAAATAGTTTAGGTTTTGTGGGCCATTAACTCTCTGTCACTGTTATGAATTCTGTTATTCAAGCACAAAAGCAGCATAGATAGGCTGTAATGAATGATTGTGGCTGGGTTCAAATTAAACTTTATTTATGGACACTGACATTTGCATTTCATATCATTTTTATATGTCACAAAGTAATAATTTTCTACTTTGAAATGCCATTCTTAGCTTGTGAGCAGCAGAAAAACAGGTGGTAGGCTGGATTTAGCTCACAGGGCATAGTTTGATGACCCTGGGTGTAGAACAATCCCAATTACCTAGTCCAAGGTCAAATTTGACGTATTTTCTCTAAGGGGCAAGTCACAGCCCAAATATTCCTGAGCTACTGAATTGCAATGGATGGAAGTGGAAGGTGATTGGTAGATAATCAAGTGAAGATGAACCAGAAAAAGGTATTTTGAATGATTTTGTAGGTGTGACAGGGGAGCCAATGAGGAATTAGAGTAATAGAAGTAATATAAGACTACTTCATTGTATCAGCCTACATTCCTTTTCCTTTATCTGCTCTTTAATATTTCTTCTGTTTAGAGTAAGATCATTCTATTCAGAATTAGTGAGGCTATTAGCCTTCCTCCTTTACCCTCAGACAAGTTTTCACATTTCCCAGACCCAGTCAATCAGGATACGCCACTCCTTTGACTATAGTAATCATGTAATTGCAGTGGCTAATACCTCCTACGCTACATGCTATACAATAATTATATATATTAGATACTATATCATTAGTTATATATGCCATATGCTATACAATAGTTATCATAATGGGTTTAATGGGTATAACTATTTTTTTGTTTCCTGTTTTGGGCTTTAGGAAGCATGTTTACGTTTATGAAATCTGTTTGTGTTTGGTCTGATATATATCCCTTGATTTATATTTCACGGATTTTCAAAGTCAAGAAGGTTTTGAATTTTTTTTATATGTTGTTTTCTGTATCACTACTACAAAGATTGGCAGGAATGAAGATCAAATAACTATTCTTGGCCCAGCTTTTCTAACTTCCTGGAAATGTAACTGGTTTGATCTCCAGGCATTGACCTTTTGTGTGCACCAATAAAGTATCTCCACCTGGTGAACTAATGGTGCGTCCTCTTGGCCTGGTCCAGGCAAGCTGGTAAACTCTTTCTCACCTTCTGCATTTGCCCCACTTGGCTTGTATTGTCCTTGCAAATTCTCTGTCAGTTGTGTCTTCTCTCAGGTCCCTGGTAGATGTGTTTACTTCATATCCTCTACTAAAGGGCCAGCTCACACATGGCCATAATGATCCCAGGGCAGACTGCTGGCCTTCAGCTCTCAGCTGCCCTCTATGACCATCACTGTGAGAATGTGGGTGCTTGCTGAACCCTTTCACATGTCAGCAGTGCAAAGGGAGACTTGCATGTGCTATTTAGCTTCTAGGCCTCTGCCCGAATACACAATGTCCCATTTCACTCTGCTTTGCAGAACTCCAAGCAAAAAAGCAGGACAAAAGCTTCTTCTGTGGCTTCCAGTTTCTCATAATCCATTCCGGCCTTGGTCAAGGCTTAGACGTTCTTTCTAGGTAGAGTTGCCTTCTTCCAAAGGACAAGCCCCAGGACCTAGCCTTAATGTAATAAAGCCTCTGAGGAAGAATAAAGCAATTACTGAGAACATTACTGCTGTTGGGGAGGCATTAATAAAGATCATCCTTGCCTTACGAGAAACAGGTCAGAGTACAGAGATATAGCAAAACTCATGAAGGTCCTACATAATGACAGAAATTTTTTGGAGTACCAATCTACGTCAGCCTTCTCATAGCTGAGTAACAGAGGTGCAAAGAAATTCCACGATGAATTAATACCAGGGCTGGAATTAGAATCCAGGGACTTAGACCTAAATTTTCTCTGATACACTGTGTTGATTTCCCCCCATGGCTTGTTAAACTATTCTCTGGAAATTTGAAAAAAATTGGGTCTATACATTAACACATTGTTTTGGTTGTTTTTGGTTTAGGAGAGCTAGAGACACTCCAAGTTCTATATTTACTCTTATTATGGAGAAATTTTTTAGGTTCTAATGATGATTAGGAACACTTTGGGTCTGTCTTTGAGGAGTCAGTTTTCCACTGATTATGTCGCAGCTATGTGGAAGCTCAATGAAATCCGAATACAACTATGACCAACCTGTTAGAATAGTCTTCATTTCATAATCACTGATGTTCACTGCAGTTCTTCTGTCTCCTTTGAATGAAACCACAATATGTCACCCCAAAATATGCCTCTTTGACAAAAATTGTTAGAAGATAAAAAAACAGCAGATACAATACATGGTAGCAGATACATGGGCCCTCTAACCCTCCCTTTTCCGTCCTGAAAGGAAGAGAAAAAACTCCCAGATGGAAGGTATCCTCCCTCCACCAAAAGGAAAGTAAAATTCTTATCATCAAATCAGAAGTTGAGATTGGAGAGAATTCTATACAAATAGACCTTGTTCAAATGATTCTTATCTTCCCTTAGACTGCCCACATAGTTGAGTTACTTTTTCACAATTGCCTCTGTTTTTGTTCAAGCTAATATAAAAGCAACTATTTGCTTTTATTTGGGTCTCATTCCTTATGAGGCCTCCTGTGCCACATAAAACTTATATCAAATACTTTGGTATGCTTTTCTCCTCTTAATTTGTCTTACGTTGGTTACATTCTCGGGTCCAGTAAATATACCCTAAGAAGGTGTGCACAGAGAGAGAGGGAGAAACACTGATTTTAAGAAATTGGCTTGTGTGATTGTGGGGGTTCAAATCTCCAGGGCAGCCCAGCAGGCTTTGGGGGTCTGGGAAGACTGGATGTTGCAGTCGTGAGTGTGAAGGCAGGCTGCAGGTAGATATCCTACCCTAGAGGACCTCAGTCCTTTCTACGTGGTTCACACCTGCTATTGATAACTGCTAAGGCCTCTTCTGTACATAGTCCACACTGCCCAATGTCCCCACTTCTCATTTGCTAAACACCTTAGGGGCCCATGGACTACTAGGTTCCCTGATGTTTTCTGACCTGGGCAGCAGAGGGGAGAAGAACTGGCTCTCTGCCAACCTAACCTGCTCCTTGCTTTATCTATTACCTGGGTGCTGGAGCATCATGACTTGCCCACGCTTTCTTTCCTGCACTTCTCTTAGAATCTTCATAAAAATGACACTAATCTCATCCTGAGATCTGATCTTGGAAATTACTCAGCTGGGAGCCTTGCCATCCTGCCAAGGTACCTCTTATCCACTGTGAGAGCCATGTGCTGAGACACCATTCCCTTTCCTCAGTACTTTTTAATCTGCCCATGACTTCCGAGATCAGCCCTCTTCCCTCAAGGCTTCTATTTCACTTGCAATACATTCATATATCACTCCAGTTAAGAAGTTGAAGCACAAGAAAAGTTAAGCAACCTGCCTGAGGCCGGTCACACTGATAGTTAAGGAGTCAGGGTTCCAACCGAGGTCTGGCTGCAGAGACACGGTCTCCCAGCTAGGCCTCACTGGCTGGAAAAGATGCAAAAATGAAGACATGGTGCCCCCCCTCAAGTAAGTCACAACCCGGAGGCACAGTCTACAATCTGTAAACTTGATCATTTGTACATTTTGACAATGGACATTGACTGATGAGATTAACAGTGGGGCAGATTTCAGAAGTTCTGGCCCCGGGGAGGCATTTTTCATTGGGAGGGCTCCTGTTATCCCTTGAAAGAGTGGTTCGCAAACCCAGCCATGCCTTAGCAATCCTCGGTTGAACATATAGACCTCAGAACCTTATTTTAGTTAGCATCTCCAGGGGAGGGCCCAGGAACCTTTATTTAACAGGCCCTTCTGGGGAGTCTTAAGCCCATACTTCTCTGAGGCTGGGTACTTGGGGCTTACCTTGTAAGACACTATCAAAAAAGGCAGTCGCCTAAAAGATTATTGACTTAGAGGAGGGAATAGAGAAGGGTTTGCGGTAGAGGGGACCAGAACCAGGAGTGGAGAGGAGGAGTCAGGGCAATGCTTAGAAACCAGAGCCATGTGATGAAACACGAGATCACATTATGAAACGTTTGGGCTGAGGGGAGTAGCAGCTGCACCAAGCCTCTGTCCTGATCCCGTGACAGCAAGGCCAGCAGTCCCGGGACTGGGGACATAAAAGGAAGGAAGAGCTGACAGTTTTGTGAGGTAACTTCAAATTGGGAGAGTAGGCAAGCGGGTGCCTGGCTGGCTAGGCTGGGGTATTTGAGGGGTTCCGGAAGAGCAAGCAGCAGGGAAGCCTCTGATGCCTCCAGTTGGTGCAGCCAGCTGCCCTCCTCCAGACTGCTCCATGCAGCTGAATTCAGGGTGAGTGTGTGTGTGGGGTGGGGGGAGGTCGGGCTATCAGGGCCTGGCCTGGCCGAGAAGGTGTGCTGGGTCTTGTGGTGGGGCCCCTGGGAGGGAGGCCCTTTCATTCAACTGTGTGCCTTCCTCTCTTGGTGGCTAGTGCCACTTGCTGGGGGGACCGTCCTTGGCAATGCAGATCTGTGTCGGATGCACCCACCTACCAAGAGATCCTTTAGAGATGTTTTGAGGACAAAATGCACACTGCAAAGTGTGGGTCCTACTAATGTGAACTTACCGAGAGAGTGTTTCTAGAAATCTTTCTCTGGGACTTCTAGTGTTGTGGGGGGAGGGGAAGGAAGTCCTTGTGAGGACAAAGGTAAAGCCCCTAAAGGGAATGGAATTTTGTTTCTTGACTAGTAAGTTTAGCCACTGAGGGTGACCTTTTGCTCCCTTTTATTCTTTGTTTCCTGCCCCCTGCTGTGTTAGTGTCCTGCTGGTTCCTGACCACCCTTTCTCCAGGAGGTCAAGGTCTCCCGGTGGTAGAGGCCTGATACCCTTCACCCTGGGAGTCAGCAATTTTGGAAGTGGCTCCACATTATGGCTTTCAGCTTTCTACCCCTAGGAGGTTGCTTCCTTACTGCCTGGGCCCTGTCTGCAAGACCACAAGGCTAATCCTGTGTGAGACAGCTTATTTCTTGGCCTCTGACTGCTTTGTGGTTTTGGTTTCGTGGTCACTCTGGGTGTGCAGTGTGTCGCCTTCTGCCCCAGAGACGTGAGGAGGCCTGGAGATTCTATTTCCATTGGATTTTTCAAGAGTCTCCCATTTTCAGAGGTAGCCTGTAAAAATTCAGTTGGGCTTCTTTCTTCTTCTTACTCCTCTGAGAAATTTTATTTTTTCCTTTTTTTTAACCTTTCCATCCATCTCTTACTCTTTCATTTAATTCCTCGAACAGTTATTGAGCGATCGCTATGTGCCAGGCACCTTTCTAGAAACTGAGGAATAGAGTGGTGAGCAACATGTAGTTCTTGCCCTTGAGGAAAAATTAACACTCAGAAATAGAGTGCTGTCCAATAGAATATTCTAGGATGCTGGAAATGTTCCCTATTTGCCTTGTCCAACGTAGTAGTCACTACTTATGTATGGCTGTTGAGGAATTAAAACATGGTTACTGTGACTGAGGAATTAAAACTTTATTTATTTATTTATTTATTTATTTATTTATTTATTTATTTATTTATTTAGATTTTATTTATTTATTCATGAGAGTCAGAGAGAGAGAGAGAGAGAGAGACAGAAACACAGGTAGAGGAAGAAGCAGGCTTCACGCAGGAAGCCTGATGTGGGACTCGATCCCAGAGTCCTGGGATTATGCCCTGAGCCAAAGGCAGATGCTCAACCACTGAGCCACCCAAGTGTCCCAAAACTTTATTTATTTTTAATAAATTGAAATTTAGTTAGTTCTATGTGCCTAGAGGCTCCAGCATTGGATAGAGCAAAAAGGAGAGAGATAAAGCAGATTTTTACAACATCATATGCCAAGCGTTATGATGAGATGGTTAGTTGGATTGGAACTAGGTTGGGGTTAATTGTAAAAGGCTTTGATTGAATCAGACTATAAGGGAACCAAATACAAAGGGAAGCCCAAGACCAAGATGACAGATTCAGCTGGTAAAGAAATAATGAGCCCCTGTTAGATTCATACTGTTTATTATTTGCATAGATAGTCATGACAAAAGAAGCCAAAGGTGCCAGCTGTCTGTGTCCTTGTCTTACACCCTGAAATAATGGCACTGAAAGAAAAGGGGCCCCAGACTTCAACACAGTTGCAAGGTAGGTATCCTGTTGCGGAGGAGCCAACTCCAGACTGCAGTGAAATGGTCACAGAGTTTGCAGCCCTGCCCCAAATGCACGTGGCAGTGAGAGAGAGAGTCCCATGCCTCTCTGGAAAAAGGGAGGTGTATGGGAAAACTGTCTTATGGCAGCCTCCCATAAGATAGAGACCATTAAGAGCTACAAACTTCCACTTACAAAATAAAGAAGTCATTGGGGTATAAAGTACAGCATAGGGAATATATAGCCAATAACATTGTAATAACTTTGTATGATGATGCATGGTAACAACCTTTCATGATGATTGTTCTGTAATGTATATTAGTTGTCAAATGCACACCTAAAACTAATATCATATGTCAATTGTATTTCAATTAAAAAAGAAGATAAGAGAGACAGGTGACAAAACAATCTTGTGAAGTCTCCTCCAAAGATTGCCTATGTTGTCATGTTCCTGAGATCACAAGGCATTCCATCTAGGTTTAGGTCCTGGTGGTTCGAGTTTTGCCTGTGGACACACTGGAAACCTTCCAGGGTGCTGTGATGAAACCAATCCCCTGTAAAGGGTCTTTTTTTTTTTAAGATTTTATTTATTTATTCATGAGAGACATGGAGAGAGGTAGAGACATAGGCAGAGGGAGAAGCAGACTCCCTGCAGGAAGCCCGATAAGGGCCTCGATCCCAGGACCCCAGGATCACGACCTGAGCCAAAGGCAGACGCTCAACCACTGAGTCACCCAGGTGCCACCCCTGCAAAGGGTCTTAACACTTATGGCCAGAAGCTTTAGACTTTACCCTTCACCCTTTAGCCATTGGAAGTTTAAGAGAGTAGACTGGGAGGTCTAATTTTTGTGTTGAGATCTGACAACATTGCAGAGACTAGACTGGGAGGCGAAAAAGACTGTAAACAGGGAGGAAGAATTAGGTAAATAGATGAGAGTTTCTGGGAATGAAGCGGAGAACACAGTCAATAATCACTTATTGAATACCTGGTAGTCAACAGTTCCATGTGCAGTGAACGTAACAAAAACAGATCAGACAGGGTCCTGCCCTCCAGAGGGTCCTGTTACAGATTAACAGGAGAGTGAAAACACAGCATAAATGGCTCTAGTATAAGGTTCAGTAACATATTAAGTACTCTGAGGCATGTTGGAGAGCCCAGAGGATAGGGAGTCGTCTTCAGCTGTGTGTCCCTGTATACAGTTGGTGCCTTATTGCTGATGATGACAATTCAGCATTGGACAGGATAAGCTTTAAGGCTTCTTACAACTTATTCTAGAAAATCTGGTACTGAGAGGCAATAAACCTTATTAACTAACAAAGGTATTAATCCCTATCACAATACATGGATTAGTTTGGATCAAATTGAGAGTAAGACAAAAGAAATAGAATATAGGCAAAGCAGGAAAGAGTCACAAAACATCAAGCATGGAGCATGGTGAGGGGTAAAGAGGAGAAAGTTTGAGGGCTTTGGATACTGGGGGCAGGGCTGACTTGCCATACACCACCGGAAATAGTATGGTATTAGTATGGACGAGTCCTTCCCTCCCTGTCCCACCACATTTTGGTATTTCCATTTTGCCTTATTGTCCTCCCACCTGCAGGAGGTCAGTCGATCCTCAGTACCTCCGGAAAGGATGCCACAACAAAAAGGGGAAAAAAATGTTTTCCTGGCCTTTGAGTTACAAAAAAACTAACGGATGACATGAATTCCAGAGGCCACAAATAGGTGTATTTGGTCTGGTACCCACCTTGGGGTTTTTGTCATTGCTGTGTGTATGTGCTATTTTGTTGTGTTTCCAGGAGAATACAGTTGAATGCCTTAGATTGGGCAGATCTTCTTCAGTTCACTACAGTCTGACTTGCATTCACTCTGACGTTCATGTGCAAACTTACAATACCTGCCCAGCCCCTCCAGCTATCTGAATTTGGACCCCATGGCATACCTTGCAAAATAGGTTTGGAAGAATGTATGATAACATAGGAGCAGGATGTCCCTGGCCAAGTCTTTCAGCCCCGTACAAGTCACTGAGACTTACTTGGACTTCAAGGAAAAGCAGAGCGCTCTGAATTCTGTGATTACATCTCTGCCATCTGGAGGAACAAGGACTCAAAAGAGAAATTATGCTGAATCTAGAGAAACAGGAAAACACTGCATTTTGTGCACATGTGGGTTTGTGGACTAAAATTCAATCCTACTAGTCCATTATCCATCCTGCCATACTATGCACCCAGGCTGTATCTGTAACTAAAAGCTTCAGAGTCAGGGAAAGGAAAAGATGAAGCTAAAGACAAGAAAGTAGTGAAAAAGAAACAAGGGTAGGAAAGAGGGCAGGAAGAAAAAAAATGCACATTCACATTGTTGCTGTCATTTGGGGAAAATAAATAAGATTTATATGGAGGGTCATGGCACGGGTTCTTGTTTCACCATTAACACAGGCAAACTTGTGTAAGTCGCTTAACTTGATGAGTTCAATCTCCTCACTTATAATGACCATGAGAGGATCTTGAAAAGTGAAAAGGCTTTATTATGGGAATATTACCCAGCGGCTAGCTTTTAGTAATTGCTCAATGTTGTTCGCTGTTAGAGAGAAAAAAAAGAGAACCAAGGGGAGACTAGAATTCCAGTAGCCATTTAAAAGAACTAGGCCCTTGTCAAATCATTGTGGTGTATAACTTCCCTTTCAATTTTCCTGGAGCTATTGCTGCTTTTTAAAATTATTTGTTAAAGATGATTCACATTGGGACAGGACAACTTCTAGTACCAGCTAGTGTAAAGCCCATTGGCTAGTAGCTTCTCTGTAAAGCCAGACTTTTTGGTGTGTCATCTCTCGTGACTCCGAATGATGGTAATTCTCCATTTCTGATCTCAGGAGTCCTGTCTCCAGTCCTGCAATGATCTTCCATTTTATCTTCAAAAGTCAGCCTATTGGATCATCAGACATGTTTATAAAAGGCAAATGCTTACTAAAATATAAAAGAGTGGCATAATAAATAACAAAGTGAGAAAAATTCTCAAAGGAACAATTCTTTATTACAATGCTCTTCTTTTACTGTCCATACTTACGATGCCTTTCTTTTGTTGTCCACACTTTGCAATGCTGACAATAGCAAAGTGTTGGAGTGCCATGGAGTTGCAGTGTGTAAGAATTCATTTTTTGGAATGCATATTTCCCTCTGATTTCCCTTACACTAGTAGGGGTTGTTTACCCCCTTAACTCATTTCACAAAGTGTAAAGGGAGTTTGGAGTAGGTAATTCAGGAAGGAGGGGCAAACGTGATCAGCCTACCACCCTCTTCTCCATGCAGTATAGTGCTTGCTAACCATCAAGAGCCTCCTCGATCTTGCATCTAAAACTGAAAATGAACTCAATCAAATGAATATGATCTTTTTGCACGCTGCCTTAATGGGATGAAAAATTGGTAAACAAATCACTAATAGGACCGCTCAATCACTGTCCATCATTATGTGCATTATAATCACATGACACTTGATGTTCAAGAATGGTTTATTTTTTTCTCAATTAAGAACCCTAGTGGAAAGCCCTAATAACATTTCACAAAACCTCAGGGTTCCTCAGAATCCCAGTGAGAATCCCTGGTCTATAGGTACAAAGTCTTCTTTCATGTGTGTACGCAAGCACACATGTGTGTACTATATATGTGTGTATTTTAATTCTGGACTCTTCTTGTTTTTTGAATATATAAGGGAGTGATGACACATAGGCTTGGTAAGTCTGAGGCCTGTTAAATTTATAACCAACTTCTGGAAAGGCAGTCTGTCAGACTTTGCCTGGGATCCCTACAGAATCCTCACGAAGGTACACCCATCACAAGGTACAATGTGTGAAAGATGCTGACTTTATTTAGCCTATATTCCAAGGAGCAAGGACTAAGGGGTCACTGATCATCTGGTCCCTTCCTTGTCTTTGGTGGGGAAATCTGAGACAGGCTTCACAAGCACACACCGTTGACCTGTCAAGTGTTTTTCTCTCTCCTTCGTTTCATGGTTTCGTTTTTGTCAAATCCATATCATTTTTATCATGGAAAAAGTTACCAGGTCCTCAAGGGAAAGGAAAAAGTGACCTTTCCTATAAGAAGCAGTCCTCTTGAGAGAACAATTTGGAAAATTTTCAATTTTTTAATGAGTATGACGTATGGAAGAAAGGAGGTGGGGGGAGAGAAAAGGAAGGAAAGGAGGAAGGATGCAAGGAAGGAGGAAATACCCCAAATTTTGCTCATTAATGGAACAGAGGACAAAATAGCTGATCCAATGTCTATTATAGTCTCTTTACCACAAACGACATTTTGACATTTATCACTCCATTAGAAAGGTATACAAGCAGAGACAAGATCATGGAGTTTCATTTTCCCTTTAAAATATGGGAACATGAGCAGCCCGGGTGGTTCAGTGGTTTAGCACCTGCCTTTGGTCCAGGGCCTGATCCAGGAGACCCGGGATCGAGTCCCATGTTGGGCTCCCTGCATGGAGCCTACTTCTCCCTCTGCCTGTGTCTCTGCCTCTCTCTCTCTCTGTCTCATGAATAAAAAAATAAAATCTTTAAAAAAAAATGGGAACATGAAAAAGAGCTGGAGGTTGGTTTTATAATGGAAGGGAGGGATTAGAGACCAAAATAAAAAATAACACCATAGTATATTTATGTTTATGTAACTCTACCCCAGGTAGGTATGGGGCTTGAAAAGCAGTGCTGATCCTTCCTGTAAATGCTTTTTTGTGTATTACCTCCTTAGATCCTAACAAACACCCTGTGAAATAAGTCACATGGGTATAGTCTCAACTGAGGAATTAAAGCTCAACTTACTCCAAACCATAAAAACTGAGGTTTACTGCAGTGTTATAATTGATAAGACAGGAGGCTGTGGTATCAGCCTTACCCTGAATTTCCAGTTCTACTGTTAATTATTTATGAGGCTTTGAGCATGTCACTTAACCTGTTTCCTCATATGTAAAATGAGAATAATGAGTCTTCTTGCACGTCTTCTTTTCCCTCCTCCAAATGTTCTGTGTATTTTGCATGAAGTCTCTAGAAATAGAACCTGGATAGACTTAATGCAAGCCTTGTCTCAGTCTTTCTCCTGGGATTTCAGTCTCCAACTCAAAAGTCTCCTCTCATCCTATAGGGCAGGGAATACCACTCCATCCCTTTCCCAGTTGCCAATGGTCCAGCTGACAGCCACCCCAGCAAGTGCCCTTGCAGATGAACCAGTGCACATCCGAGTGACGGGCCTGCACCCGTTGCAGATGGTGACCCTAATGGCGTCTCTGAAGGATGAGAAGGGGAATGTGTTCTGGTCCAGAGCCTTCTATAAGGCCAACGAGGTTGGTGAGCTGGACCTAATGCAGACTCCTGCATTCGGAGGTGACTACGTGGGGGTTCACCCGATGGGCCTCTTCTGGTCTCTGAAGCCCAAGAAGGCTTTCCAGAGGCTGCTGAAGAAGGATGTGATGAACAGCCCCTTTTGGATCACTCTGAACCTATATGACTCCGTTTGTTTTGAAGATGTCATCACAGATCAGGTCATGGCCAGCCAGGTGGTACAGCGCTGGTTCTCAGGCCCTGGGTTACAACGGGTGCAGATCCGAGAAGGTCGGGTGCGAGGAGCCCTTTTTCTGCCTCCAGGTGAGACTAATCTTTGGTGATACAGAAAACTTTGTTGATGAGTATAAAAACTGAAACAAAGGGCATCAAATTATTGGAGAACTAGTGTTTCCCACAATAGTTTAAAATCATCATGCCATTGTGTGTGTGTGTGTGTGTGTGTGTGTTTGTGCGCGTAAAGGTGGAATCATTTTGCTCACCTTGTACTTTCCCTCTTATCCACTTGAGCCTCTTCTCACTCTTTCTGATCCCATTCTCTTTTCTTTTTATTGCTTTCAGGGGAAGGTCCTTTCCCAGGAGTCATTGATTTGTTTGGGGGCAGAGGGGGTCTGGTTGAATTTCGGGCCAGTCTTTTGGCTGCACGTGGCTTTGCGGTGCTTGCATTAGCATATTTTGGCTATGAAGATCTGCCCAGTGACCTGCTGGAGATTGACCTGGAATATTTTGAGGAAGCTGCCAACTTGCTACTAGCTCATCCCAAGGTATTTAAAATACTTTTCATTCTACTTTGCAACATTATAGCAAAACAAAACACAACAAATCAGAAATGTCTGTTTTACCTCTTTTACCAATCTGTTTAAACTTGGGCATAGCACAGTTTACCCTTAAAATGGGGACAATATCTACCTTGTAGGATGGATATTATCCTTGTAGAGCTTGATGATCAGCTTATTGGCACAAAAGACAATAAATGGTGAATGTATTATGGTTATTTTCTTTCTTTTTTTTTTAACAATTTTTTTTTAATTTTTTTTTAATTTTATTTTATGATAGTCACAGAGAGAGAGAGAGAGAGAGAGAGAGAGAGAGGCAGAGACATAGGCAGAGGGAAAAGCAGGCTCCATGCACCGGGAGCCCGACGTGGGATTCGATCCCGGGTCTCCAGGATCGCGCCCTGGGCCAAAGGCAGGCGCCAAACCGCTGCGCCACCCAGGGATCCCCTTTCTTTTTTTTTTTTAAAAGATTTTATTCATTTATTCACGAGAGACACACACACACACACAGAGGCAGGGACACAGGCAGAGGGAGAAGCAGGCTCCATGCAGGGAGCATGGCGTGAGACTTGATCCCTGGTCTCCAGGATCACGTCCTGGGCTGAAGATGGCACTAAACCCCTGAGCCACCCGGGTTGCCCATATTATGGTTATTTTCATTGGAAAAAAAAAAAAAAGCCAAGGCTCCTCACATTTGAAGTCACTTGTCAGTGACTCTTCAATTTTTATCAGCCACTGATCTCATGAATCCTCTAGCTTATGTGTTTTCAAACTTCAATGAGTTAAGTCATACGAAAGAGTCCTGAGACTAAGAACATGCAGAGTTCAGTTTTAGAGCTGGGCCACAGGATCAGAGCAGAATCATCAGCAGAATGGATGTGGCTGCACCATCTGATGAGCTAAACTAGCTCTTCAGTGAGTATCAGATCTAGGGACAGAACTAAACCCAAAGTAAGTGTCCAAGGCTCAAAGCTGGGAAGGGAATCTAGAAGGGAAGGATCATTTTAGAACTCTGTCAAGTATTGTTTGTACCATTGAAAATGTGGGCCATGGCCCAGAGGCCTTGGTATGACCAGAGAGCTGTTTGAATGCAGACTCTCAGACCACACCCTGGTCAGCATCTACATTTTAACAAGATTCCTCAGGTGATCTGGATGCACATTCAAAGTTTGAGAGGGACTGCTCATAATCCAGCTTTTTTTTTTCTAGGAATTAAATATCAGATGAATTATAATCTAGACCTCTTAAAGAGGTCTCAAAGTACTGATGTTTGTGTTAATGACAAAAAAAAGAAACGGGAATAAATACCACAGGGTCAGGTGTCTGGGTTGACATTCTGTGAAACTGAAACATAATAATTCTAGTTTTCCAGTCTGAAAATGTTTGAATATCAGTTATGTTTTATGGATCAACCCGTCATGGTAAAACAATCATACCAGCTAACATTTGTTAAATTGCTATTTGACTCTATGCTAAATACTCTAAAAGCACTGTTGTTGAACACTCACAATTACTTGGTGATGTAAGTACTGTTGACATCCTCATTTTTCAGATGAGAACTCAGATTAAGTCATGTGACAGGGCAGCAGTTTAGCGCCACCTTCAGTCCAGGGTGTGATCCTGGAGACCTGGAATTGAGTCCCACGTTGGCCTCCCTGCATGGAGCCTGCTTCTCCCTCTGCCTGTGTCTCTGCCTCTCTCTCTCTCTCTCTCTCTCTCTGTGTCTCTCATGAATAAATAAAATCTTAAAAAAAAAAAAAAAGAAAAAGTCATGTGACAAAACTACACAGACCTTCTGGCAATGCCTTTGCTCCAAACTGTTGGGTTATCCTGACTCTGTTATTCATATCATTCTCTGCCCAGAGAGCCTTGGCTGTTCTCCAGGAGACATGAGGCCATGTCTTCTCTTGGAGCACTATTAGTATCTTCATCTTTGGTGTTACCTCCCTCATCACCATCAAACACATGTGTGATTTTTCTAAGCATATTTGGCTTTTTAAAATTTTTTTTTCTAAAGACTAGGTCTTTTTTTTTTTTTTTTTTTTTTTAAGATTTCATTTATTTATCCACAAGAGACACAGAGAAAGAGAGAGGTAGAGACACAGGCAGAGGGAGAAGCAGGCTCCATGCAGGGAGCCCGACGTAGAACTCCATCCCGGGTCTCCAGGATCACACCCTGGGCCGAAGGCGGTGCTAAACCGCTGAGCCACCCGGGCTGCCCTGGGTTTTCTTTTCTTTTCTTTCTTTCTTTCTTTCTTTCTTTCTTTCTTTTCTTTCTTTCTTTCTTTCTTTCTTTCTTCTTTTTTTAAAGGATTGTCTAGAAGGAATTAAATCTCAGATCAAATGTTTTCAATTTAAAAAAAGTTTTTTTTTTTTTTCCATTTCAAATGTCACTCTTTGACATTATCTGAAGAGGAAGAGCAATTGTCAAAATTCAGTTTAGATTCAGTGTCATCAGAAGAGGTTCAATTCCCATCTCGGCTCCTTGACGTTGTAGCCTTAAGCAAGACTTGTAAACTTCCTGAATCTCAGGGTTCTTATCGGTAGGACAAGTGGAGACAATTTATGTGTAAAGCACTTAGCTGAGGGCTCAGCCTACAGTAAACTGTCAATAAATCCACCTTGTCATCCTTGCCCGCCTGGTTTCCCCCCTCTCCTTTCCCTACATCCTCAACCAGTCCCAAAGTGTTTTAGGGTCTATTCCTGGAACTTTCTCAATAGGTCACACCTTCTTCATCCTCCCTGCCACTCTTTCAGTTTGCTCCTTCATAACTGCCCCCCTGTGGTAAGTAAGTCCACAGTATAGTATCCTATCTCCAGTGATAGTCTGCTCCCTTGTTCCCCGGTCCATTCCTGTCATGGCAGTTTCCAAGTATGGAAGCACACTGCATTTCCTGGGGTGGAGGGGGGATATGCTCTAGTATGAGATTCTTGGGCCCACTCAGAGCTATTGAAATAGAAACTAAAAAAAATGGATCCCAGAAAGCTCTAATTGAAAGAACTTTTTTTCCAGGTGATCTGATGATAGGTGCTGGTCTGTGAGTGTAAACAAAGTAAACACATCAGGTTGCTATGCATTTGCTGCTCTCTGTCCAAAATGCCCTTCCTTTCCCCACTCGTTTTCCAACCTTCTTTCTTCCCTTTGCTCCCTCAGCCTTTCACAGAGTTAAAGACCCCCTCTCTTATGACCTACTACTTTTCCTACTGAACTGGTCACTGGCATTCAATTGTTTATAGAATCCAGGTCTTTCAACTTTATACCCTCAAAGCTTTCACCATTAGCTCTTGGACTCACAGACATGCAAAACCTCAGTAGCTGTAAAATGCTATTTAAATATGAATAACACTTACATAATATTCTAAACAACCTGGGAAACTCTTTTCCTAACTAGAGAGAAGAATTTGATTCTTAAGTTTCCCTGCTTCTACTCAGGTGATGTTGAATGTTGTTGGTGCATTTAAACTCTTTTTGGTTTTATGGAACTCTGCTTTTGATGAAGAACTTTTATTTTGATTGTTTCACTAGATCCTTATAACATTCCTGCAGGGTTGGTAATAATATCACCCTGGTAAGACAATAAGGCTTCCCGGAGGCAAATAGGTAATGTCTTCGGTCATAGGAGCTGATAAATCCAAGTGCTAGGACTCCCATCCCATATTTTCTGTTTCTATCACACTAGCTTACTTGGCCTGTAGGGCAGCTGCTTCCAGAATGGCATGTGATGGGTTCCCTATATTTTGTGCTTCAGGTCCAAACGCCAGGAATCGGGGTGATCTCTGTGAGCAAAGGTGCAGAGATTGGGCTGGCCATGGCCTGCTTCCTGAAGCAGGTGGTAGCCACCATCTGGATCAATGGGACCAATGCCATTTTTGAATTTCCACTCAGGTACAAAGATATGGTAATAACACCCATCCCCACGTTTGTAGAGCGCATACAGTTGGACATCTCAGGGGCTATGCGTCTCCGCCACTACAAGGGGGATCCCTGGGATGAACTGAATCAGCAGAGCGTGCTTCCTATTGAAAAGGCCCTGGGTTCGATCCTCTTCATTGTTGGAGAGAATGATGAATGCCTGAATAGCAGGGAGTATGCCCAGCAGGCCTTGCACCAGCTGCGGAGCCACGGGAAAAACAACGGAAGGATGCTGTTATACCCTGGGGCGGGCCATCTCATAGAGCCGCCCTATTTACCCCTGTGTTACGCTTCCCCAAACAAGAACTTTTCTTGGCCTTTGCTCTGGGGAGGGGACCCTGCTGCCCATGCCGCAGCCCAGGAGCACTCCTGGGGAGAGATCCTGAAATTCTTCAGGCAGCACCTTACTCAAACCAGGAGCAAACTCTGAACCAGGGCTAAGGGTGATGATGAAATGAGACAAAAAAATGAGAAGGCAGGGATATGATGGGAAGAGGGAGTTCTCCTGACTTCTGTAGATTTCATAGTTATCCTGGGTCAATGGGAAGGAAATAGGACAAAAAATCAAGGAACAAGGGCACAGGTGCACCTGAAGTATTTCTGACAAATTTGTACGTGACCTGAATTTTTAATAAACTGAATCTTCGTTTATATGCACCAGGGTACATTGCTATCTCAATCTTGCAATACCCTTGCAAATTGAATAATCTTTTGTTTCCCAAGTAGGAATACCTTGGATCCAGGTATTGTCAATCTACATGAATTTCCTGGGACTTCCAAGTTACTTGTGGAAAAACATTTTCTGTTTAAAATTGAATTTCTGACATTTGAAATGAAAAGTTCTAATGGCACCATCAAATGTAATGCTTGTTATAGATTTCCAAAGCATACTTTATTTTTGTATAAAGCCCAGGATAGTGATGTTTCTTTTTACTCCTAAAATATATTTCTTTTTATAATTTTAATCAGGAATGGGATTGAATTTAATCACATGCCTTTGTAGCACTTATTGAAATTGTTAATGAAATTAGTTAATATTTTTAAAACAACTACAGCAGTTAAGGTATGTAGCAATTACTCTATCAGAATTGGCTGCAATTATTTCCATAATGCTTTCCTCCTTCAGTCTATTAGTGTGGTGAATTACATTCATTAATGGACTTAATGTTGCTTTTGCACCTAATTTTACCAGATTATTTTCTCATATTGACTAATTTGGGTTTGTAAAAAAATTTTTGGAGTCAATATGGTCATTCCTATTTTCTCAGCATTTTGCCCATATATTCTAGAACACATTTTTTTGCTAATAATTTTGCACATATCCCCTTTTATCTGCATGCTTTCCCTTTTTCCCTCTCAGTCTGACTTGACAAATATTTTTCTATTTTATTAATATTTTCCAAGAACAGTTTTGATTTGTTTTTTTGGTCTTTTCCTCCTGATTCCTTGATTTCTGTTGTCTTAAAATAAATTCATTCCTTCTGCTATATTTTTTGTTGTTGTTTATTTTTCTGGCAGTGTTCTCATTTTGTTGATTTCCAAATAGTTTTTGATTTACCTACCCCCCCATCCCACCTCCACCTTAAACCCAAAAGTAACTTTACCAAAGTATCATACTGTAGATACTATTTATTATAAGGGGGAAGGAGTGAGAAACTTTGCAGTGGAGGATCAGATTGTTACCACCTGAACCCACTGGTCAAACTTAGCATCTCTTAAAATGGTCATTTTTACATAATGTGCTTCATGATGTGGAGTGTCTGGCACTACTTGGATGACTTATAAAACACTATTAAACTTGAACCTAGTCAAACCTTTTGATCAAATTTATTGATACAGTGGCTAAAGACCAGTTAAAAAATCCTGCAAAGAGACAAATCCAGGTTGTGGGTCATTCTATGACCTGGTCTCATTTTAAGTTAACAACTCACCTGGTTTCTTCACAAGTTAGTTGCATGAAAAAATTTGGGATTTTTTTCATTGTGGGATCCCCCCTCCTCCGCCCTTTTTTTGCATTGGAATGAGCTGTGGGACAATCAAGCATTAAAAGAGGCTTAAGAAAAAAAGAGACTTAAGACACATATCAACCAAATGCTATTTGTGGGCTGGGTTTGAGCACAGTGACTGTAAAAAGACATTTTTGAGACAATTAAAAAAATCTGAATATGGACTGGATATTAAATGACATTATGAAATTGATATTATCTTGTTAGGCATCATGATGGTATTGCGGTTATATAAAGATCACTTTTAGATAAAGATGAATACGGACATATTTACAGGTGAAGGGTTGCAATGTCTGGGAATTGTTTTAATACAGAAATATGGCAAAATGTGAATAATTATTACTTCTAGATTATGGCTATATTGAGGTGTAATATTTTTTATGTGTGGATGCAATTTTTCATAATGAAAAGGTAAAAAAATAAAAGATACAATCAATATATTTACCTTTCTCCCTCCAAAGTCAATAACTTTAGCATATCTAAATCTTTTTCTTCATAACAATCCCATTAATTTCAAATTATTGATTTGTTTTAAAATAAATACATATTTAACATAACTATGCTTTAATGTGTCTTTGCTCCTTATAGTTTCTTACAGGCTGTCTTCTAAATTCTTGATTTTATCTTCTGCTTGGCCATTCCTTAAAGTACAAACTCAAGTCATTATTTTAAAAGATTCCTATTCACCTGAATCTTGGCAAATTAAAAAAGTCTATATTTTGGTCCCTTTGCAATAAAGAATTTTATACTTGTAGAATTTGATGTTAATAGACTTTGATCTTTTTATTTTAGCATCCATTGTTTCCAATGAGAAGTCTGGTTCTTCTTACTTTGTGGAATTTTCTTCTCCTTTTGTTCATATTTTCCTATTTCTATTTTATTTTTATTTTACTCTGTATCTGAAAGCTTTTTACAGTTTTCTCTTTGTTCTTAATGTTCTGAAATTTCTTTAAGATATGAATAAGTGTGAGTTTATCATTACTATGTTAATTAATTTTGTTTGGTACTGTATGGGCCATTCCAAACTCAAGACCTAGCTTTCTTCAGCTTTAGACATTTGCTTCTGTTGATTTTATAATCACTTTAACCTTTCCATTTTTTCTACTCTCTCCTTCTGGAAGTTCAATTAAGAGAATTTTGGAGCTTCTGGATGTTTCTTCTATGAATATTAAATTTCTCTCATATTTTTTGTACCTCTTCCCCGCTGTCCCCAGCTCCCTGTTTTCTTGAACTTCACAGTTTAATTGTTCGACTCACTAATTTGTGCTTCAGCTCCGTGCAACTTGCTATTTAGCTCATCTCTTGGGTATGATCATTATTTTTAATTTTCCCAATCTGCAATTGGGTTGTTTCCTTAAAGCCTGTTCTCATTTTTCCCTCTCAGCTTTATTGAGATATAATAGACAAATCACATTGTGTAAACTTTAAGGCATACAACTTGATGATTTGATATACATACATATTGTGAAATGATTATCACGATTAGGCTAGTTAACACATCCATCACTTCACATAGTTATTGTGTGTGTGTGTGTGTGTGTGTGTGCGTGTGTGTGGTGAGAGCATTTAAGATCTACTCATTTAGCGAATTTCAGGTATACAATACAGTATTAGTTAACTATAATCCCCATGTTGTACATTATCCTGTTCTAATTTTATAGATAGATCAGTGGGTCATCTTTCTTATTCCTGCTTTCACCTGTGGCCTTCATGAACACACCCACGTTCTGTGCAGGATAATGTCATTGTATTTAAAAAGCAGTATAAGCCATTGGGATTAAGAAAATCCACTTATCCCAGCACCACCTAGATATTATTTTTTAGGGATCTGATTTCAGCAAAATGAACCATACCTTCTTCATGGTCTTCTTTCTAGGCTTTCCTAGGAGCTCAGCTTCCAGTTCTATTTGGTTTTCCCGTTAGTTGGTTAGAAAAATCTGACTAAAAGTGATTTACACAGTGGAATAATTATTGTCTCGTACGTAAATAAATCCAAAGGAAGGATGGCTTTGGTTTATTCACCAGTTAAGCAGTGTCATTATGAACCAAATTCCTTCTATCTTTCTGCTCTGCCATCCTTAACAGGTTAACTTCCTCTCAGGTTAGCCCGGCTATTGTTCTAAGATGTTGACCACAGGCCCTCGTATCTCATGAAGATCTCATTTAGATTTCCCCATGTCTCAGTGGTCAAAACTGGGTCACATACTTAAAGCAATCACAAGCAAGGGAAATGAGACCAGCATACCAGCTTAGATAATCAAGACTTAACCTTATAGGCCTAGCATCATTGAAGAACATGTCCACTTGGCAGATGGTGAACAAAAATGAAATTCATTACTGACAAGGACTACTGAATTGCCAATCAGGACAGTTTGCCCTACTTGTGTTTCCTCTTCCCTCTACTATTTTCATAACAAATGAAAATTATGGGTAGGGGGAAGTAATCTTCTGATTTCTGATGCATTCCAAATGTTTTCTTCAACTTGCAGATTAAGATCACTCTTGACTTGACCTGTCCAGGCATTTTGATTCTTTAAGTTATGCTTTCCTTCCTTGTGTCCTTCTAGTTTAAACAAATATGTAGGACACTGTTTATCTTCCTACTTATGTGTGATTAGGAGTCCCAGGGCTTTCACTCCATTGTATTCCCTTTCTAGGGTGGTTAGATGGTCTATCTCAAAGGCAAACATTTATGTGTCTTTAAATATGCATAATTTGTAATACAGGACACGGCAGTGCCTCAATCTCTGGATTTCTTTATCCCTAAGTCTTGCCACTCTACTGTTTCATTGTTATACCATGACCAGACATTTCCTCTCATTCTTTTTATGTGTTATTCACAGATTTCTGTTGCTTCTGGTAGAAAGTTTCCTTGGTTCCAAACTCTGTGGCATGTACTCTTGGTAGCCTAAAATTCCTTCCTTCTAATAGTATCTAAATGTGTCCTTGTGCTTCAGTGATTCTAAACTTACTCCAGCCCCCACAGGTGAGTGCTAAGTGGTGTGGACCAATCATGGTGGTTTTTTTCCTTCATCCAGTGAGTAGAGTAAGCACAGACATATAACATAATTCTTGCCAATGGGATGTCAGAGACATCTAAAGAGAATGAAGATTGTCTGAAAGAGACATTCTGAGAATTTGGGGGATGTCTTCCTTATCTTAAAAAGCAAAGAAATAGAACTATTTTCTTTGGATGTTGTTTTATCTTAATGCTTAGGATATATTGAGGCCAGTCTGAGGACAAAACCAACACACAAGGTCTGAGCCAAATGAGTTGCAGAAAGATGGAACTGAGGCTCTAATTACGTTGTTTTCATAGATGCTCAACCTTTGGATTTCTTGTTATTGGATTAAATAAATTTCCTTATTTGTTAAAGCCATTTACATATGAATTTTCTGTTCTTTGCTGCTGAAGACTATCATGATCATGGACACTTCCCTTATTACAACAGCCCACCCTCGCTTGCACCTGTCTAGAGGCAGTGTAGAAGGATAAATTGCACAACCTGATTTTTTAAAGTAAGGTGGGCAAGGTGAATTAAAAATTAATAGTCATCTGGAATTTCATAGACACCTTTTAGACTTTCAGGGTTTCATAAACTTGCATAATATGCATAACCTGAGGATCATGTATTGTTGCTAGATTTATTACATTTCATTTGTAATGATGGGATAGTGGAAAAAGAAACCTCCTATGTAAGTAGGGTCGCTTCCTGATTGGAGATTAACTGAAAATAAGCCACCTATTTTGCAGAAACACACACAAAAATGCTTATTGAATGTTTATACTAGAAACACTGCTAAAAGCTTTTCATGAGTCATTTAATTGAATCCTCACATCATCTTTATGGTATACTTTGCTCATTAATGCCCTCACTTTAACAGTAGATAACCTATGAGGCTGGGAGTTTGACTTGCATTATGATTCAGCGAGTCAGATAAAATTCTGGGTTTGATTTTTAGCAATCTCAGCACAAGGAGTAGAACAGGAGGATCTTCTTCAGAGAGTATAAAGAAGCTTTCAGATCATTTGTGGGGCACATACACAGGGAATTTAAATCCTTAAGTTCAACACTTCCTCCCTACTTTGTCCAGTGACATTAGGAACAACCAATCTCATTATATTCATTAGTTTGCCAAAAATGTTCAAAAGCATCATATACAATGCCACTTACTCTCTTGCTTATTAGTGGTTGATTAGGCATATTCAGTAGTGATATCTTGTATATCCCTATTGCCAAATCATGCCATGGTCTATTAGTATTCTCTTTACTCCTTGAAATAGAGTCATTAGCCTCTTTGAATCTAATCAGAATAAAAAGCTTATTCCAGAAACCCCAAAACCCATGCAGAAAACTCATCCTTAAAATTCTGTTTCTTTAGAATGCTCTCAGGACCAACATCTGTATTAGGGTTCTCCAGAGAAAGAGAACCAACATAATGTATACAAAGAAATTTATTACAAGGAATTGACTCCTGCAATTTTGGAGCCTGAGAAGTCCTAAGATCTGCAATCAGCAAACTGGAAACCTAAGAGAGCTGATGGTGTCATTCTAATTTGAGTCTGAAAGGCCTGAGAACCACGAGAGCCAAAAATATTGTAAGTTCTGGTCTAGTCAAGCTAACAGGCTTGAGATCCAAGAAGAGCTGATGTTTCAATATGAATCTGAAGGCAGGAAAAGACCAATGTCACTCAAAGTCAGGCAAGAAGAGTTCCCTCTCACTTGAGGGAAGATTAGCCTTTTTGTTCCATTCAGCTTTCAATTGATTTGATAAGAGCCACCCACTCTAGGAAGGGCAATCTTCTTTACTCAGGCTACTGATTCAAATGTTCATGTCATCCAAAAACTCCCTCATACACATATCCAGAATAATGTCTGGGCACCATGTAGTTCAGTCAAGTTGGCACATGAATTATCACAGCATAGGTAGTCACTAAATTATTTCCACTATATGGATGAGTAAACTAAGCCTTGGAGAGGTTAACTCACCTAAGCTCACACAAGTAGACATGACTTCACAATACAGATGAATTTACAATCTTCCTCTAAAACACATGTAGCTATTTTTGACAACCAGTATTGACACCTGACAACAGTAGCTACACAAATTGCTATAGCTAGGGATGAAATAATTCAATCCTCTCTTACCTGTTATATTATAGCTTCCACTATAATTGAAGTCAGATGTGGTAAAGGTCCTTAAAATTCTTCAATTTGGGGATCCCTGGGTGGCTCAGCGGTTTAGTGCCTGCCTTTGGCCCAGGGCGTGATCTTGGAGTCCCGGGATTGAGTCCTGCATCTGGCTCCCTGCATGGAGCCTGCTTCTCCCTCTGCCTGTGTCTCTGCCTCTCTCTCTCTCCCTCTCTGTGTGACTATCATAAATAAATAAAAATTAAAAAAAAAGAAAAGTTCAGCAAATGTTGTCCAGAATTGCCCTGAATGAGAAAAACAGGGACAAAGAAGAAAACCCACTAATACAAAAAGAAAAAAAAAATCTAGTTCAGTCGACTAGAGAAAAATCACCTTGGCCATCAGACTAGGCTTTTCTCATGTCTTCCTGAAATATCCGTATATACTATTCAATATTTTGTTTGGGATTTCATGCTCACCACGCAACATTTTAACCAATAAAATGGTT